TGTGTATGTATGTATGTATGTCTGGGTATGTATGTATGTATGGATGTATGGATGTATGTATGTATGTATGTATTTATGTATCCTATGTATGCATGAATGAATGTGTGTATGTATGTGATGTCTGTATGTATGTCGGACAATACTTAAACCTTCACCAACAAAATCCTAAAATCGCATTTTCCACAGAGGAAGATTTAAGTGTGTTTTCGAAAAGTGTGAAACAGCCCTCAAATGAATTTGAACAAATATGACTTTGGGGCCGATCGAATGGTAGACAACAATTTTTCATAATTAAGTTTTTCTCGATATTTCCGCACATACGGGTAGCATTTCCCAAAACCCCGCTTTAACGTGCACCTTCATTACATATGGTAACAACAGTGAAGCTTCCTAACTCTTACGGTAACGGTTGTGCGTTGATCACCAATCAGTCGGTTAATAAGTCAGTCAGGACAAACAGTGTATAGAGATGTATTATATGTATAGGAAATGGCAAATATATCCACAATTATTCAATATATAATATGTATATGTGTAATAATATAATAATTATGCATGGGACCGATATCTTAACTATGTAAATTGAAGTTGTTTATATGGTTAAATGGTTCTTCAGCTTGATTAAAATAAGTTAAGAACTAGAGACTAGATGAGATGAGTTGTGACCCAGCTATTTGGGCAACTGAACAACAAGGATCCGGGTTCGTTATGGATGCTGTCAGACATATTCAGTTTGTTATTATAGCTTATATAACAATTTATGTCTGTAAAGTAATCTGAAAATTTGATATATATTTTAAGAGAAGTTCTCTTTTAGTTAACTGAATCAAATTAGGGCATAGAGAGAAGCATCGTCATGTAATGCTCATAAAAACATTTAGTTACAGCATTAACAAAACCTGTTGACCCCTAACCTTGAGAACCCCCACTTACCTGTCTATAACTTCATTCATTTATATATTTTTCAATTTGTATCATATCTTTTTGTGTTTTTAAAGTTTTTCTCTGGTTCAGAAACCTAATAAATTTTAATGCTACTTTTTATGGGTCATGTTTTCCAACTTAATAATCATTTGCACTTCCATATGACCAGAAAAAGTCATTTCTATTATTGTTGTTGTTGTTGTTGTTGTTGTTGTAATTGTTGCTGTTGCAATGCAATTTTGAACGTCTGGGCGTAGCTAGCTTTTTTTCTAACAATATTTACGGCCCCATGCGATGAATATTTTCATAATTAATTTCTTTGAGTCGCAGCAAAAGAAATATGCGCAACGCCTAATGTGAATTATTGCGAATGTTGCTGTTGCAATTGTTGCTGTTGCATGGAAAACCAAATGAACATGCCCATACATACATACATACATACATAAATTCATAGGTGTATATATATAAATTTACATTCATACCTAACTACTTTATATGTGTGTATTGCGCTTTTCATGCTTGTGACGGTTTTTGTCCCCTCTTTTCACATTTTTGATCGACAATTTCACTTTTCACGCTGCCGCCACAGACTCGAGGAAGACCCAAAGCTCAAGATTGTCAGACTTATAGACACACATGCATCTATGGCACATACATCATACATGCATATAGGGTCGACAACAATTGCGGTTGCTGCAGCGGCAGCTGCCACATCTCCTCTGGCCGCATTGAAAGATTCCCAGGCGCATTGTTGTATCGCGTGCAACATTTGGTTCCCCGTCGCGGATTGGATACTGTCTGCCCGTTCGCCCGCCTGGGGTCGTTTGTCAAACCTTATGGCGTTTTCAAGTGCAAAGCCAAGGTTGCATGCGAAGGAGCTACGTTTCTTTCAGCAGTTGCCTCTATTATCGACACGAAACGGGTTTACCCTGAGACGGAGACAGAGACTGAGATAGAGACAGAGAGAGAGAGAGAGAGAAAGAGATAAGTAGACCCAAGCTTGTTTCCATCTATCAGCTGTAGCTGAAGCTGCCAACTGTTGCAGAATTTCACTTTCTTTCGAAATTGCGCTGACCCCGATTTATTACCAATGACGACAACAACAACAACAACAACAACAATAATAACAGCAACACCAACAACAACAACAACAACAACGATACCTTGGCCATAAGCCTCACAGCCCCCGCGGATTTGGACGCTGCTTTGTTTCTTCATATCTTGTCGCAGCGCCTTTAATTGAATTACGTTGTGTCTTTCTGCCCCCACATGGAGAAAGATGTGCTCCTCCACCCCCCCTCCGATGCCACCTACAATAATTATGAGAAAGTCAACGGCCATTGTTGTTGAGTTCACTTTTTTTCGGCTGCTTACCCATTGCCATTGATATTGAGCGAATTGTGCGGCTCGTTTTCACATAATTAGCTCAGCGGCTTGGCAGCTCCATAAACTGACTCTGGGTCAAAGTTGACTAAAAGCTGACTTCCAGTTCATGTTAAAAATATGTATTATGAAAATTAGGCCATTAGGCTTAATTGTGCATCATGATGAGTTTGCAGCTTGTTTGTGCATCCAACAAAATGCAATAAAAAACTCTCATGCCTTATACACTAGCCAAGCACACTTTATAATTCAATATTGCCAAATTTATAAGCGTTCGGGTGTATAGTGTATAGTGTATATAGATGCAAGTAAATGGGTTGCAAAGCTTCAAAAATTGTTGACAAATTCTAAACGAGTAGAGTTCATGTTTGCAAAACAATAAATTGGTCAGTTTTATTTAGATGAGGAAACTGAGTAGCGAAGTTTTTAGCTCGGACTTCAAGGGAAAGGGTGTTGTCTTGCCCAAAGCACAAAGTAGTCAGTGGTATTAAAATAAAAAAACGTATACGTTGATAGCTTATATTATGATTGTAATGAGTAAAAAGCCAACCGCAAAGCGCAGAGAGATGTGGCATGGATGCATGGATGTCAATGAGCGAGGCAAATGCCAAAAGCGGCCGTAAATAATGGCAAATTGACATTTAGACGCACATGAAAGGAAGTTCAACATTTTTGTGGGCACGTTGTGTGTTGCATGCAGCTTTTTTGTGGTCAGCTCAGTTGCATGGAAAGCAAATGTACATGCAGCAAGCAGAGGCAGCAGCAAACAACTTTGTTGCGCCGTTGCCTGTTGATCATGATGACGCCACCTGGCGGCCGGTAGCTGCCCCATTGGCTAGGGTCAATTAACAATTTGGGCCACAATCCCGCCCCCCCCAATTGCAGAGAAAGCAGCAACAACAACAAGCCCAAATACATTCGATATACACACTTAAAAATATTTTAAATCATATTCGTATCGCAGCACAGTGGAATGTTTTGTGCTCTTTCGTTAAAACATTTTTATATATTTTTAAAACTTTTACTGTTGCCCGTTTGTAGTGAAAATACTGCAGGCCTTACGTATTTTCATATACAGTCCGCGGGCTATATTTGTTTCCTACCAAAAATTGTCATCGACCAAATGTGGTTCGGTGTAAATACAATTATTGGGTTCCCAAACTATATTTTCGTTGATTTCAAGCTTAAGTTAAGTTTAAAGTAGGAAAATATAATTAATTATAATTTAATTTTTAGAATATCTCTAGTTATATTTATTTCTTATATTAACGCAAAATTAATTTTTGACCGCTTGTCGAGCCTCAAGTCCCACTGTGCATTGCCGCCAATATTTAATTGATTTGCTTGGGCACACATATTGGAGTGAAGGGGCCAGTCTGAGCGTTATCTGTGGTTATCTCCCTGACATTGTTGTGCTTTTGATGCGACTTTGACGTTAATTAGCTTTTAATCTAAAGAAGCCTCTTCAAAGTCCAAGTGAGGACGACGCTGCCTCGTATGCTTCCTGGTAGCCTCAAGTGCTTTAGGTGCCGAAAGGTTGCCACACACTCGCCTTTGGGTAGAGCTTTCTTTATATTTATCTTAGTTGTACACTTGTAGCATTGTTTGGTTGTGATTCAACAATCGAATGTTAGAACATTCATTGGAATTGTCTTTTTAGTCCAGTTTATTTGTCTGCTGGCGTCTAATCAAATTTGGGCCATTTTTCAATTGAAATAACCCATTATCACAGCAAATGTCCAGGAATCTGATAAACAGTATCTATAAAGCCCGTTTTTTTTTTCTTTTTCATTTTCAGTCGTTTTATCGGCACAATTAAAAATTCTTCTATCAATACTATGCGTAAATACTTAATATAAAAACAAACCTCAAGAATATTTTGTGCTATGAATGAAAATGTAATGAAATATGGTCGCTCAGTTTGCAGGATCTGAGATAAAAGTAGAAAGTAAACAAATTTCCCCTTGAGTATGCCAAGCATAATATATGTCATACGTCATATGTTTGCCTTTGTCTTAATGATCGGTATAATCCCTCCATTTTCCACTTTAAATAAATTATATTTTCGAGAGCAATTCTCAGTTTTCTTCAGGGCTGACAACAGTTTCGTGCTGGAACAAGTGCCGCTTGTCCCCAGCTAACCTGTTCCCCTTGTCAAATGCATAAGGTGCAGAGCCTCAGGCTCTGGCCAGACCTTGGCCGTGAAACGGAGTCGCATAACCGGCTCTACTGCGCGTTGTTTAATGGGTCTTGTCTCGTAACCGGACCAATAATGCCAAACATTTACGGCCCGCTCCAGTTTGGCCGAAAATGAATGGCTGCCATCGTCTGGGGCGTTCAAATTATGAACCGAAAAGTGAAATGTGAAATTTATGGCGATTGCAATGAATAGCCCAGTGGCTTGCAGTGAGCGAAAAGCGCTTTGAATATAATGATATTTATGGGAATTCGATTTCTTAAAGCGTAAGAGCGCTCTCGCTCTGACTCATGGCCTTTCTATGCGATTCTCATGGCAATAGTCAGCTAAATTTTTGTGGGCTTGTGTCTGTGTCATGTGACAAGAATATGTTGTCAAGCCTAGTATTGGTGTATAAAAAGTGATTAAAACTGCAGTTTATATAAATATTTTATCTACTCTGCCTTTTCTCAGTGTACTCTCACTCTCACTCTCATCGCATTTGGTCTTGTTGCAGGCAACTCGCAGCCAGTTGACAACTTTGGGACTGGCGCTGACAACGCTGCTAATGACAGCTGTCGCGCTCTCGCCGCCGCAGCCAGCTGATCATTTAGTGCCGCCGCCGGCGCCACCTGCACCAACAACACCAACAGCAGCAGCAGCAGCAGCAGCGCTGCCCGTAGCGCAACGGCTGACACATGCGGGCTACTCGGAGCCGGCGCAGGAAGCTGGCTTCATGACACGCGTCGCCCGGTGGTTTGGCTTGGGCGGATCTGGAACCGCCGCCCGGGATCAGCAGCTGAGCGCCAGTTCGTTGAGCTATGCATATCCGAAGCCGGCGCAAAACTTTGATGCCGCTGGCAAGCCATGCGGCCTGTGCAACAAGTATCCCTGGGTGCCCATGTTTGGTCAGCAGCAGCCGCCGCACATTCAACAGCAACAGCTACAGCAGCTGCCGCATCACCAGCAGCTCCCGCATCAGCAGCAGATCTCGGCCTGGCAACAGCAGCCGCTGGCGCAGGCATCGCAGCAAAGGCAACGCGCCGTGCAGTTTCATGCGCCGCCGCAGAGCGTCTTTCTGCCCATCTCGGTGCCAGTTCCGGGGCTGAGTCATGTGGCAATGCCACCGGTTTACAATGCCCAACCATTCCGGCCACTGCCACAGCCACAGCCACAGCCGCAGCCGCAGCCGCAGCAGCCGTATCCGCTGGAGAATTTTGGCGCACACTCGGAGCTACGACCTGTGCCCGTGGTGGCCTCAACAACGCCTCGATCTGCAGCAAGGCAGCCGAGCAGCAGCTTTGAGATCGTTCAAAGCCATCAGCTCACCGATTTTATCACCTCCGTGGAGTACCCGGCCACTTATGTGCAGTCGCATGCCATTGATCTGGGACAGACGGCAACGTCCGTCACACCGGTGCCCGCGAATCACAGGCCCCTGCAGCAGCTACAGCAGCAGCAGCAGCAGCAGCAGCAGGAAGAGCCACAGCAGTCGCTGGACATAAGCACTGTGCGCTATCAGCTGGAGGATCTGAGCAGCGGAGCAGTGCATCAGCATTTGCCCGCCTCGCAGCTGTTAACGGAACTGGGTCACTTTACGGCGTCCAACGCTGAGGCGCAGACAACTTTAATCCCGCCAGCGGATAACTATCCGGCGGCTTCCTCGCAGCAGCAGCACCAGCAGGAGCAGGAGCAGGAGCAGGAACAGCAGCATCTGTACTATGCCGAACAATACCAGGAGCTGGCCGAGACCAGCACTGTGACGCCCCTATACGAGCAGCTGATATACACCACAGAGCTGCCGACTCCGGCAGCTGTTGAACTGAATAATCATTTGGTGTCGCCGCATGTGCGCGACGGACGGCAACGGGAAACGCCAAAACGGCTGCTCGACTCGCCCATCAATCATGCCCAGGCCGGCGCCCCGCCGCCACGCCCATTTACACGCGATCCCGCCGAGTTGAATTTCCGCCTAAGCCAGCCGACGCATGCGCCGACGCCGACCTCCACGTATGGCGCCATCGATGCCAGCGGGCAGTATGCGGGCATGTCGCCGCCGGGGCCACAGCAGGTAATTATACCCTATACGACCAAGCAGAAGCCACGCCCCTTCGAGCCACCAAACTGGACGCCTGGATGGCGGCTGCGACCCGCTCCGGCACAAGAGAACGACGTGGAGCTGCACGAGCAGCAGGAATCGAAACTGGTGAGCTCGGCGACAGCGGCGCCGCCACCAAATACGCGACGCACCACCAAATATCTGACCAAAATACTCGCCTCCAATTTGCGCGAGCTGCTCAAACGGGAGCGCGAGACAAAGCGACAGCGTCCAGCCCACTTCGGTGTGGATATCTCCAAGCTGCAGCACAACATTGACGGCTGGACGGAGCAGGAGTACAATTCGTTGTCGCATCGCCCCAGCACCCCGACCATACGCGGCCGCTCCAAGCACATACCCACTGAGTACCTGACCACAACGACGCCGGCGACACCGACGGCTACGTCGACAACCATGCGGCAGTCGAAGACAACGCGCGGCGGCGGCGGCGGCGGCTTTGAGCTGGGCGGCAGCGCCACAGCCAGCGTGGCCAATGGCGGGGATCTGTCTACCTCGATTAACAACTTGGAGCAGCTGCATCTAAGGCGTTTCCCGCCCGTCGATGACAATCGCCTGCTGCCCGATTATTACGAGGCGCTGCACCGGCACAGCCAAACCCCACGTAGCACGACACCGATGCCAACCATCACGCCCACTAGCACAACAACGCCCACATCGACGGCAGAGCCGACACGGAATACGGTTACGCCGCTTTATGTGCGCAGCACGGCCCCCACGCCGGCACCCATCGAACTGTGGAAGCAGGCCAAGGTGGCCATTCTACCCGACACCAATGAGAAGGTATATGTGGTCACCCCGCAACCGCGCCATCAGCCCCAACAGCTGCAGCAGCAGCAACACGGCGAGCTGTCCGCATCCGCATCGGTGCCTGCACCGGTCTTCCAAACGCCAGCACCCAGATTTCCGCGTGTGAGACCCACGCCAGGCACGGCGACAGGTGAGTCTGGTAGGTGGGCGGAGGTATCCAAAAAGTGAAATATTCCTAATCAGTGTTTAGTTACCAAGAATCTACAAAGAAAAGAGGGTATACGTATATATATATATATCTTCACTTTGTGGAGTTGCACACACACTAATAGAAAAGAAAAAAAATTTAAATAGTTTGGATGCCTTTGTGTGTACCCAATTTTTCTCAGTTACGGATGGAATTGTCTTAAACACGTTTTAGTTCTTACGGCTTTTTTATTATTGAGACTAATATTGGATTTTTTGCACATTTGTTCTCCCATCGCAGTTAGTGGCGATCTGATGGCCGCCACGCCCACGCCCTCAACGGAACAGCTGCGCAACTATACGCCGGACATATTTGGTCTGATGGGTCTGTCCGCGTATGTGCCAGCGGAGCCTGTGGAGATCATTGATGGCAATTCCAAAGTAAATCGAAATGCAGCTGCCGCTCGCCTAGATATGTAATCGTTATTTTTGTTTTGTCTCAAACACTTTCACACACACACACACATTACTACACACTCATCATTTATGACCACATTATGCAACACTGCACTGCACCCACATCCGCATCCGCTCACACACACATGCACACACACGTAGGTTATCACGATTGTGACGTCGGCGCCAGCTGCGGCTGCGCTACAGCGACCAACACCAAGGTCCACGATATCGCCCAGGCCCAGATAGAGCTACTCCCGGGACGCAGCCGACTCAGCAGATCCGAGTGACCAGCAACCGGCGCATCTATTGTAATATATTTCCCCAGGCCGATTGGATGGATACATTGATTTATCGTGTTGCGAATTTATTTCTTAAGCCTAAACCAATTTTAGAGTATTCTTGCATTTGGTAGCTTTACACGTACAGTTAGTTTTATATGTATTGGTAATGTGCTTAACTTTTTTTTTTTGGTTTTTTTTTTGCTTGCGATGATATGACGCGTCCTCTAATATTAAATATGTATACACACATGTATGTATGTACATATGTAGCAATATGGAAAGTCTAGTTTGGCAGCGTGTCTGATGGCATGACCACGCCCTCCCATTTTCGGGTGTGTGGGCGGCAGAACAATGTGAAAAGTGTGTAGCTGCGTTTGTTTGTTATTAATTAAGCAACGAAAACAAATTATTGAAATGCAACAATAAGCGAAACAGTACCAATCAAAGTCACTTTTATGTATTTAAGTCGAGAAAATTGCAATTTTTCTAATTATTAACTAAATAAAAGTAATATATTATTTTAAACATGGATTTAGAAAATGCTCGATTACGTTGGTATTAAATAAGGACTTTGTTTAAAAGTATGCAATAGAAAAGTACACATTTGCAGCAGCAGTAATTTATGACTGGCGCGCACAAGTATGCTACATTTTAAATTGGGTGCCTTTCAAAGCTGAAACGCTGTAAGATAATTATAATACAAATGTTGGCATTTAATAAGACGATAATATTTAATGCAGATTCTACACAGAATGCTGCAAACACAATCTGCTTCATTTAAAAAAAAAAACAGTTAAATATATACAATGGAGCTTGACACTTTTCCAAAAATGCCTAGAAGTATGCTACACAGTCTGACAAATTCACAGCAGTATTCGTTCATGCTCTTCGCTTCGAAGTATGCTACATTCAACAGTCGATTGGGTCACATTTTGCGAGTACAAATGTTGGCCTTGCATTCGATATCCCAAAAGTATTTGAACACAACCAATTCCAGTTAAATACATGGTAAGCAAACTATCAATTGTACTTCGTGACTACATGCGTGTATATAGTAGGTGTATGTCTGTTTAATAATAAGTACAGTTGTATATAATATAGCTTAGAACTACAAAAAAAAAAAAAAAAAAATTAGATGTGAGTCTAATGATATATGCATGTATATCTGAGTGGGTCACTTGATCAACTGAGCGTCTTGCGTCTGTGTCGTCGCAGCAGCGCCTCTAGGGCCCAGGCGGCAGCAGCAGCAAACGACAAAGCGTCAAGGCAGTGCAGCGTCACGGAGTAGTTGTAACGATCCCGCACAAGACCTGCAAAGAGCAAATGGATGCATAGATATCGTTATTGACATTGATGTTGGCTGAGTTGTGCTGCATATACCTACCCACAAAGGGACCGCAGAAGAGCGTGAACAGTCCCGAGATGAGCAACTGGAGTCCAGAGGCGCCTGGCAGGCGATTTAACGGCACATAGCCGGGTATGATAAGTGGCCAGAATATGGTGCGTACGCCCTTGCACAGGCCAATCCACACAAAGCAGGCCAATATAACCATATAGGATCTGGTGCAGGCAACGACGCTGCGTCCAATGGCGATGCCAACGACGCCAATAAGAAAGAATACGCGATTATCCCAGGACATCTTCTCTGTGATGAACGGCACCAGAAATCTCATGGTTATATCCATGCCGGCCATCAACGACATGGCCACTGTGATCTGTGAGGTATCAAATCCAAAGTCCGTCAGGATAAACGGCGTTAGAATGGAAAAGTTGAGCTCTCCAAAATTGATGACCGTCAGTCCGGCGACCAGGTTCACAAATGTTATATCGCGCAGCAGATCCAAATCGAAGAAGGTGACCAGCTTTTGTACAAAGGTCATCTTGTCCGGATTAAGGCTCTCCGCTTCGTTGTTGTTGTTGTGCTCCGGCGGCTCCGTTTGGAGGGAAGCGTAGAGTGCCCGCTGCTCAGCACAGCTGCAGCAAAGCTTCGACTCCAGAATGGACTCTTCGCGCTCCCGCCTAAAGTTATTGGGTCGCAGGAACTCCTCTTCCTGCTGCTGTTGATGTTCCTCATTGATGGGGCGATGCAGCCGCTGCATATGCTCCAGATCCTTGGAGCTAGACACTGTGCGAAAGCGCATGCGTCCAGAGCTTAGCGACAACTTGGAGCCATACCAGCCATCATTGGCGCGCGACAACATGGGCGTGCCCGGCTCAATGATCTCGTAACCCGGCCGCTGAGCATCGTCATCCTGGTACAGGTACTGGCTGGAGAAGATGCCGCCCGGCTCTCGCTTGCGCTGCAGCGCACAATGGGCGCACAGTATCTCCGGCTGTTGCTCCAGCTGCATGAGAGACGCTTCCGCCGCTGCTGTCGCTGCGGTACTCGGTGCCAGGTGATATCGCACCGGCTGATAGATGAGCGCACTGACAAAGGCGTGCAGCGAGATGGCCGCAAAGAGCAGCACCGTGCCCTGCACATCGTAGACGCCCAGCAGAAACGTGACCAGATAGGGCAGAAAGATCGGGCCCAGGCCAGTGATGGTCCATGAGAAGCCAGCGGCGCGTCGTCGCTTCTGTTGAAAGTACGTGTTGATGGCCAGCGAGGAGGCTGACACGCTGATGCCCATGCCAAAGCCTGCCATGCGAGATTAAACAACTAAAGTGTGACGAGTGAGCTATCTATTGGGCCATCCGCTTACCATAGAGCAATGCATAGGCGAATATGTAGCCGGCGAATGTCTCACAGAACGCGGTCAGGACAATGCCGCTGAAGCAGAGTAGAGCGCCCGCCATGGCCACCTGGCGAAATGTGAACCGCCGGAACATGGGGCCATTTAGTAGGCCCGTGCAAGCGGATACCGCTGGATTCGTATTGATTATGGCTGTCACCTGTGAGCTGGACATGCCCAGATCGATGAGTCGCTCGCGAAACATGAAGCCGAACTGTTGCAGGCAGGGATACAGTGACAGCTGAAAGGGACTTTGATAATCAATTGCTCTGGATTAACTGCTTGGTTTTACCTACATTCGATAAGCCGGCGGCTACGCACACCAGCCACGCCCAGCCGCCATCGGGCGCCACAAAATGCTCGCCCAGATCGCTCTTGTCCTTGCGGTTATAGTAGCCCTGGCCACGCTTCGGCAGCGGCTGTGTCGTATCCCCATAAACCTTCTTTTCCTCTGGCACCATATTAACGACTGCGCCGACCCTGCAACGATCGACAAGTTTTCCTGGAACGTCAATTGGGGGAATTGAATTTGTTAAGTGACGCCAAATGAAAATTATGATCGCGACCATGATCGTGACTGGGAAACGCAATATGCCAAGCCGAGCCGATGTCAGCCTGTAAATGATTTAGAGCCCATTGCCAATAACTGGTACTTCGGTGCAGTAGAGCTTTAACGATCACTTGTCACAATTAACTAGGCACCGACACTCCGACACACAGCGCAATTGCCGGCTGCATCTTGGAGCACGAGCCACTGGGCACCCCAGAAAAGGTAGAAGCTGCTGTTGCTGTTGCTGTTGATGCTGTGCTGCGAGAGCCGGGTTCATGGCTGGGGCATTTTTTGGCAGCCGTAGCTGAAATCTTTGCAGAGCTTATCAGCATCGTCATATGACTATGTGACAGACTCAGACTCCGATCCATAAACTTAGCGCGCAAATTGTTTGTCGATTTTCGCGTGTGAATCATGATTTCAATAGTACAAACACACACACGTATAAATATATAAATATATATATATATATATATACATATATATGTTACAGCTGTTTCTGATCAACGAGACAATGCCCATGGTTCAGGTCTGTGAATCGATCAAAGCGTTCGCTTTATTTGCAGCAAGAATGCAGCTGTATATAATTTTGGTTCGAACCGGTTCGAGCTCAAAATTCGCCTTCAATTCTTTACCATGAAACCTGAAACCTGAACCGAAACATATATACAATTTTTAAGTATTGAAAAATTACGTTTTACATTTTAAATTAAATTAAAGCAAAAGTAAAGCTTATTAGAAACATGGGTTAATTATCCACTAATCGAACCAGTCAGCTGGTTCGAACCGTATATTGAATGGACTTTTAATCAGGCAATTGCCCGTTAAGCCCTACATAGGTACTGTAATTGTATTTGAAAATCAATAGCCTTTTATTGATCTTATCTTTATCTGCGGGCCATGTAGTTGCGCTCCATAAAATTGAATACAGCGATTAAAGTAAATATGTACCTTATAAATAACTCATGGGCTACACTTGACTTGCCGCACAAATAGATACAGATGGAGATAACGACATTTCATTGTGACTGTGTGCGTGTGTGTGTGTGTGGAAAAACTATTGATCACCAACTGATGATAAGATTGATACTTGATAAGATTGCGTTAGGGCTTCGAATTTGTGTTAGTTAGTCGTTGGTCCTTTGGCACAAATCCACAAATCTATCGACAATCACGATCCCCAATATTGCCAGCTGCTTGACAACAAGCCTGCCACGCCCTTTTTATTGACAAGCGCCTGCTTCATACATACGCATTTTGTGCTGCGAGAAAACGCCGCCCATCGATAATGCCAGGTGCGCTGACGATCTCATTGTGATTACCGCTTGGCGCTCAACGCATAAGCATTCGTGATAAGAACGTGTTACAGGCGCTTTTTAACCATGTCATGTAATCACAAATAGTGAGATATGTACATGTGTATGCATGTGTGTGTGTGTGTGTGTGTGTGTGTGTGTGTGTGTGTGTGTGTGTATTTGATAATGTATGAATCTTAAATTGGTTTGCTAGATACTGCTTGGCAAATGCGAAATTTGGCAGCTGATGCGCCTATTTAAAAAGTTGCCTTTGGTTTTTCCTTTGCCTTTACAATTTATTTTTACACACACATATACTATCACACACACGCGCGCACTAACACTATTACAGTTTACATGTTTTAATGGCCTTGACTTTGGCACCTAATCAAGTTCAAAGTCGCCACGCACTTGGGATTGGGATTGGGATGCGGCTGGTCAGCGCCCTTTTGGCTCACTTGTCATTGGCGGTCGCGAGCGCGATCCGTTAGCGGGACCCAGATGTTCGAATCCCAATTGGAATTGTCCAATTGGCACGTTGCTAATAAGTGACCCTCTCCAGCTGCAAATGGCCAACGGCTCGCGACTCGGTTCTCGGTTCTCGGTTCTCGGTCGCGACGCTATTAGCTGCTCAAACAAACTAAAAACCGATGAACGTTCGACATCGATGCTGGCGGCGAATCAGCGAAACGCCAAAAGAATTGAGAGCCCCACAAGCGTCTATGCAGTTCTCCGCAACAGTGCTGTTAGGGCTCTGTTAATTAACAGCAGCACTCGCTGCTCCTGTTAAGGTTCACCTGTTAGAAGGTGTTCGTTGCGAGGCATGCTCGTAAACTATTCGACAATTTGTAAGTTTGAAACTTACGATCTAGCTGATTATGATTATGAACTGTACATTACAAATACTTATATTTGTAACCATTCCCATCCAATTCCTTACATTTGAAAGAGCTCCTTCTAGGGTAAGGTTAAACTTGTTTATTATATTTCAAATTATGATAATATACCAATACTAAATTATAACTGGATCTGGCAATTTTTATTATATGTCTTTGCTATTTTTGTCAAATTTATAATACGATTTTTGTAATGCCAGTGATCCTTAACAGTCTAAAAACATATATTTCCATAATCTGACCTAATTTACCTTAAAGATCAATAAATCACAAAAGAAATTATGATGCTACCCCTTTAAATTTTTGAATGCCAATTGATAATCACACGAAAACAATCGAAAATTGTTGATTTCTGAATCGGGTTCCAACTTATAGTACTTATAATTGTATTGCCTCTGAATAATTTAGTTGTGAATGCCTGCTATTCAGAAATAATTAACCAGGCAACAAGCAAATAAGCACACAAGCTACAAGTTATATATTCTCAATATAGGGCGTTTGAGAGTTTTCTGTCCTTTCTAAAATCGTTATTGGGATATCATTTATAGTCACTATTGTTTGCTTATTAAGTGCCTGCTAAGCGATATTTGTGCAATTTGTGAGTTCCATTAAGATATATTTCTACATTTCTATTTGAAAAAAAAAAAATGTTTATCATATGTTGTGCTAGATATTATATCTTCTATCCACTTGCCTGCTTCTTGTGCTGGACTTAACAAATATCATTGTATACATAAATATGCTAACTATGTTTATTCTCATTAAAAATAATATTAAATCAAATAAAATTTGGTTGAATCGCTCGTTGGACATTAAATAAATGTTAATTCAGTTCAGTTCACAATCACCGAATGTGACCAAGTGAAATACTCAATGTTCCAAAAAGTACAGTACCGTGGTAAAAAAAAAAAACATTATTGGAAAAATAAAACAGCGCTAAAACCTAAAAGTACTTATGGCAAAAAAAGTAATCATGCTTGATCGTTGATTCTTAAATTAAGCGCTTACGGGAAAAGTTTAAGGTAGTTCAAATTGCTTAAGGTAATACTTTGCACAAGGTATTGCAAATCGATGCTATTTGACGTAGGTCTCTGCTCATCCAATTTTACAGTGGTGGCCCGCATAAGTAGCTCAGTTCCCTTATTTGTCAGGATGCTTGTGCCGCTCGCTATTGTTCCGGTGGACTGTACGGCTTGCCGAGAGCACGTCGAATCGCTGACTCTGAGATCCACATGAGCAGTGCCAGTGCCGTGAGCATGTTGATGGTGTGGATGGTGGCGCTGTAGCCGTAGGCCTCCGTGACGATGCCTGCACGACGATGTTTGGGGATGCAAGATTAGCGGAATGCGGAGAGAGTGTGCTGCAAGTAATACTCACCTAGCAGGGGTCCCATGGCGAAGGAGAAGATGGTATTGAAGATCAGCTGCAGGCCAGAGGCGGCGGGCAGACGACGCAGCGGCACATAGCTGGGTATGATCAGGGGCGAGAATATGGTGCGAAAGCCCTTGCCAAAGCCAATTAGTAGAAAGACGGCCACAACCACATCGTAGGAGGAGGTCATAGTGACAATGACTCGACCCACTGCAATGCAGACAATGCCAAACGCGAAGAGCACCCGATTGTCCAGCTTGACCTTCTCGAGGCAGAGCGGCGCCAAGAAGCGGACCGAGATGTCCATGCAGGCCAGCAGCGACATTACCATGGAGCTCTGCTTATCAGTGTACCCATAGCTGTTCAGGATGAAGGGCGTCAGCACCGAGAAGTTCATCTCGCCAAACATCATGATGCTCATGCCGATGACCAGATTCACGAACGTAAAGTTGCGCAGCAGGTCCAGATCGAAGAATTTGCTAACCTTTTGCCGGAAAGTCATCTTGCGCTTGGCCTCCTCCTCGGCAGCCTCGGCGGCCTGCAGGGCCTGCAGCGTCTGGAGACGCAGTGCCTCGGCAGACTTTTGAAGCAGCGCCTTGTCCTCGGCGCAAGTGCAGCGCAGCAGCTCCTCCCCGCCTGGCCTAGAGTAGACGCTCGTCTTGCTCGCATAGCGTTCCAGATCCTCACGTTCGCGATTAAAGTAGTTCGGCTTGTAGAGACCCGCGCCCGATTCCTGCTGCTGATCCAACTCGCTGCCTTCCTCCAGCTTGTCTAGATTCTCGCGGCTGCCTTTGGCTGCCGCAGCTGCTGTGACCGTAACGGAGGCCTGGCGCAACAGCACCTGCCGGCGCTCGGAGGCGAGCGACAGCCTGGAGCCAAACCAGCCATCGTTCGCCCGGGCCAGCATGGGTGTGCCCGGGTCAGTGATCTCATAGCCGGGATGCTCGGGATCGTCGTCATTGAAGAGGTACTGCGAGGAGAAGATGCCGCGCTTGGTGCGCTTCTGGTACTGGCAGTACTTGCACTCGTAGTCGCACCACTGATCGCTGCTCGGCACCAGCAGGTTGCCATTGGCCTCGGTCAGCTCGGGTTGCTCCTTTTCATCTACGGCATCGGCGTCTGGCTTCTCCGGCTTGCGCACATGTCTCATCACCGGCTGCAGTGTGAGGGCGCAGAGCACCGCATTCATTGCGATGCCGGAATAGATCAAAATGGTGCCCTGGGCGCCATAGTACTCCAGCAGAAAGGTGGACACATAGGGAAAGATGATGGGTCCCAGGCCGGTTATGGTCCAGGAGAAGCCAGTGGCGCGTCGCCGACTCTGCTTGAAGTATGTGTTCACGGCCAGCGAAACGGCTGCCATGGCCAGGCCCAGACCCACACCATAAATCAACGAGAGGCACACAATATACTGCCAGACGGTGGTGCAGAAGGCCGATCCGAAGATGCCCAGAAAGCCCAGAGCTGAGCCCGCCAAGGCCACTTGCCGAAAGGTGAAACGCCTGAACATGGCCCCATTAAAGATGCCTGCCAAATAGAATAGAAGTAGAATTGAGAACAAGACGCGACACTAATAGCTACCCCCACTTACCCACTATCGAGGACAGGGTCATTACCACGTTCACAATGATCGTCGTTTCCTTCGCATCGAATCCCAGCGTCGCCATGCGCCCCCTGTAGATCAGGCCGTACTGCTGCAGCGCCGGAAACATAAAGAACTGTGGATTGCTAAAGGATTATCGGGTGCTCAACACGAGGGATGTGCATCAATGCGGGCACTCACATTGTTCAGGCCCGCTGCCAGGCAGATGACCCAACCCCAGCCGCCATCGGGCGCCACAAAATCGGGACCCAAATCGCTCTTGTCGCGGCGCTTCGGCTTCTTTGGCTTTGTCGTCTCATTGTAGACACTCGCGTAATTCTTCTGCGTCAGCGTGGATTTGTCCATGATCCCGGTTGAAGATGTTGTTGCCTGCAAATAGATGGGCACAAAATTCCTTACGTTCAGTTTTTAATAGCTTATGATATTGGTGATATGGCCAAGGAAACTCTTCTGACTGAAGAGGGTCCATAAAAGCAAAAGAAAACAATCATAGAAAATATAATAATATTGTATATAGAGATATATATATATATATATGGATTGATTAGTTTTTGACAGAGCATTTCATTAGGATTCTGGTATATCTATTATACTTATAAGCATGGCATAATCTAACCGAAATGTTTTAGCTATGGCCTTTGTCCTAGACCTCGTTCTGAACTATAAGATATTTGATTTATTAAGGATACAAGATATTCCCCAAATAATGCTTGACGGACAATATTTAAACCAAACTTCATGAAGATATACAAAATTTAATCAGCATACCTTTCGGGTGGGTTTGCTTGAAGAATATGGAGAAATATTGGCAACAAGGCTCGTTCTCTTTGTCACTTTTGTCTCTTTTACCAATTCGATACATAATAATGCACATTTTAGGCGTATCCGAGTGTGCTATTATTAGTCGAATCTTCGACCCGATAAGATAACCGCAAGATAACACAAACTGTGCTGGCCGACATTGACCTAGTCCTTGGAAACCAGAATGGAAAGAGGAAAACCCATGATTCCGATAGCAGATTCTGGTTATGTGGTAGTTGATGATCTGTAGAACCCGATGCTAATTGTTGGCAGAAAATCAAACATACTCGAAAGGTGATTCAAAATGAGCCATGCCATAGCAAAGTTAGCTCTGATTTCTATTGCATGGAAGACTACGTACATTTTTCCTGGAGTCGGGCAATTAGCTATTCAAATAGCATATGTCGCTATTTTCCAGGGCGGATAATTGCGAGCTATCGAGTATCGACTATTAGAGTGCGACTCCTTCTAGCGCGGCGCACCTCATCGCAATTATTATTATTATTATTGCCTAATGCTAGATAATGCTCTAATTGCTAATTGGCATTGCCGCCGCGATGATGTCGGCAGACCGGGGCCCAACGGGCCGGCCTATACACACGTTCTTTTGGGGGCGGGCCCATCTTTGATGTGTTTTCTATATACTATTGTTGATTTTGTCATATGGGCGCGACGTGACTAAAAACGCGGCGATCTTTCTAGCGATTTTATATGCAAAACACGACAGTTGCTTTGGCCGGGCCAGAAGAAGTACCAATCGCAGTCCCTCTTCCTCCTCCTCCTTGAATTGAACGAGCCAAAACTAAGCTCAGGAAATCACTTAGCGGGTGTGCCCAGTTCAGCGAGATCAATGCAATGCCTCTAGGAGCTGACTTAATGGCCGACGATCCAGCCAGATGGGAGGCAAGCCCAGTCGTAAACCGAACCAGTATCACAGGCACAGGCACAAGGCACTGGCACTGGCAACTGGGGGGTAGGTGGCAGGTGGCAGATGGCAGGGGCACAGGCAGACTGTCGCCGGCATTGGGTCCTTCATGAAAACAGAAAACTATAAAAACAAAATCAAGATAGAACGTCTTTCTTCCGCATGTCGATGTCTAAATACCCTACTGAAAGCTTCCCATCGATTGTGCCCGTCAAAGCCATACTAAGTATATATAGCATATATTAGTTCGATTTGATGTGATTTTGTAAATATAACTACAGCTCAAAATATCTGGGAACACAAAAAAATTGTTCATAAGAAAATCTAACTTTCAATCGATTATTCCTATGACAGCTATATGATATACTGTTTCGATTTTAACCCTAATGCAATGTCTATGCTATGTCCCCTGTCAATATCGGCTCGTCTGCTCATGCTGATCGGGAATATATGTATATACCGTGCTACTTTAGGGTGTCAGCCATGCGTTGCATAGTTGTTGACAACACTAAAATACCCACTGCAGCAGGGTGTAAAAATAGTTCGGTTGTAAAAATAATGAAGAGTCTGAAATGTGAATGTGGATAGGGAACTGGCTGGTCGGGAATATGCAGTTTCTTTGGCACTTTATGTCGCCCTCATTGCATGGAATCTATTTATGCAGCGATAATTCGGAGACGAGCAACTGGTGCAGCTGGTGGATGCTGGCACTCGGCACTCGGCAGTTGATACTTGGCAGTTGGCAGTTGGCAGTTGGATGTCTTTATTGCAGTTGCAGATAGTGAGTCGTGGCATCCGTCTTGTTTGCCATTGAACTCCATCGAAGCGTGCCATAAATTGACGCCCGCTGTCAGAGATCTGCGACACAGACAGTGTCAGAGTCGGAGTCGGAGTCGGAGTCGGTGTCAGTGTCAGAGGCGGAGTGAATGAAAGCGCCTGTTTAAGAAGAGGGCGGCTGGGGGCGCGGCCAGACAGGCAGACAGCCAGACAGGCGGACAGGCGGACAGACAGCGATCAAAACCATGACCAAGATCAAGTCCAGGCAAGGGGAACAGCACTTAACGGCCTCACACGCAACGCCATCGATCAGTGGCTGGCACAAACTTTCGCTTGGCCCATCCAGCGAGCCAAAATACTCGGACTAGACCAGACCAGACCAGGCCAGGCCAGGCCAGGCCAGAGAGCGAGCACACTTAACAAGCGTCATCAATGTGGTTACCGGTTTGCAACTTGCTGTGATTTGTCGTCGCGATCGTAGCGATGGTTCCATGCTTTCGGCTTTGCGCAAGTCATGCAGCGTGGACAATAATAAGTACATGCTATTAATATGACAAACGCAAAGGCGTCGTCATCGGCACAAGTTATGCCTCTCATTCGCCATACATCGGATCGTGATTGTCTCGCACACACACGCGCGTCACTGCGATGATTGAGCGTAATTTTGATGTACTACTCTGAGGGGGATTTCGGGGAGAGCGACGGCTAACGAACGCCGAATGCCGAACACAGGGCGTGGCAGTCATTCAGTTCATTCATGAACTTCACAAGTTATGCAAACTGTGGCAACATAATCGAACGGGTACTCAATTGGAACAAGCTCTGACTAGTCTTTGTCTTTGTCTTTGTGATTCCCCATGCGATTATAATGAATGAAACACATTAAAGCGTATCAATTGCTAAACAAAAGCCTTTATATTAATATATTAATTGATTTCACAATACTATTAACATCTAATTTATATTAACACGCTATTTGTAGAGCTACCTCAGTAGCTAACTAGTGTTTGGGGAAGCTTCAGTATATTTTATGGGTTCGTCTTAGAAGGAATGTGCACTTGTGATTTTTGTTATTTCTGAGATCTGTCGATTGATTGATGAGCTACGGAGCTGGTATTTTTGAATAAGCTAGGCTATAAGTGCGCATTGGCTGCTTGTGCGTCGAACTAGCAATGGGAAAGCGGCGGTTCAAATTCTACAGGAACTCACTCTATTCGTATTTGTTCTTTCAGTAACATAACTATATTTCAATATAAAGATGAGTCGGCATTGAATAAGTTGTGCAGCTAATAGCTGCAATTAATCAAGTTTCCAAATTAAAATCAAAATGTTTCTGCATGTCATTCCATTTACAGTAATCCCCCACACATTGAATATCTTAGTACACAAATATAAAGTTCGGGCTCTCCAATATTGGAAAATAACTATGAAATAAACCCATGTGTTATAACATGTTCGATAAGTAGCACAAAAATGTGAAGAGAAATAAAATCAAAACACGAAGCACACAAGATACCGCCGCATACTACCGAATGCCCAAAGAAGCTTATCGTGCTCTCTGTCCAGCAGGTAATTGGTCTGTCCAGTTGACTCATTCCTAGATAAAACATAGACATAGACATAGATATTGACATCGACATCAATATTGGCATCGCGGATGGCGGCGCTATTGATTAGCTCTTTGTAACAAGCCCTCTCTCTCTCTCTCTCTCACTCACGTTCACCCTCTCTCACTCTCTCACACTTTGACCCTTTCGCGCCGCATTGTGGTGCTGTTATCAGTAACAGGCGCGGAGCCAGAAGACAAACAACAAAACACTTGTTCCTCAAGTTCACATATTTGTATACTTAAGCGAACACAGTACAGGTCGAACGCGACAACAAGGTGTAGCACAGGTGTAGCTAATGATGTATAGGAACGCATCTTGAAGATATATTGATATCGTATCTGTGTGTGCGAGTGTGTGCATGTGTGCGAGTGTGCGTGAGTGTGTGTATCGTGTGTCTGGCGCTTAAAGCGGAAGTTGAGGCTTCGTGTTTCGTGTTCCCTTTTTCGCTAGCCAATTGGCAGCTTGTTCGCAATTTAATTGAGATTAATCGAACGACGCAATTTTTCAATTATACTCGCATACGTTCCAATCATATGCGTGCACTGAAAGAAAACATGGGTGGAAATATAAGATATCTAGCTTGGGCACAAAACGATCTTATGATTGAAATCTTAAAGAAAACGTGATCGAACATCGAGTCTAATTTTTTTGAATCAGTTTATTCAATTTGCTTCAATAAATTCGTATCTAGAACGATTTTCGCTCAGTGTGCGAGCCAAGTCAATGGGCGGGACGATTCCGCTCATCGTTGAGCTTCGTTCACATTGAATGCAACAAAATTAAATTGTGTCAATGAGTGTTGATTAAAGCCCATCGATATGCGTTCGAGTACAAACACAGTTACGGATCGTTATTGATTGCACTCTAATGGGTTTTCGGCGGAGCCATTCACAGCTACAGACGTGGGAATTACCCAACAAACACATACATCTAATATATAGATACCTACTCAGCGGTTCAAAGAGAACGAAATGAGTGCAATCAATAGATCAGTCGAGGTGCCAACAAATTGCGTAAGAAACAAAAACAAAAGCAAATCAACTATTTACCAAATGAACAAATAGAACGACAGAACACTTAACATATCGAATGCTCATCTAACAGTAAAGTGTTAAACAAATGCAACAGTAGTAGCCCTTTTACAATATAATATTCATCGAAAAATAAATGATTTGAATTGTAATTTGTATACAAAAGCAGCTTGTGCAATTGCTATACTCTAACTGCGATCGCTTGAGATCACTTTAACAGAATGTTAAGCGAGTGTTCTCCAACTAATCTATATTTTTGGGAATTTCTTCAAGTTTTTAGCCTCATGACATCTTAAATATTACAATCGCATGCATTGGTTGTCTTAAGTCTTTCTTTGTTCCTGTAGAATTCTTATTTCGGTTCAAGCTCGGAGCTCGCATCTTATTTTTTATTATGATTCACAACCTCATTATTTACATATATCAATCCGAATCATATATATGCAAAAAAATGATTTAGTTCAAATGTAGCATACTATCTTCGTATGATGATTAATACTAAGTAGAATAGTTTCAAAAAAGTGATCAAAAATGAAATGAGGAAAGCATAGACCCAAACCACGTAGAAAAATCTGGTTCACGCAGCGAACCACAAGACAGTGCGCTAGTTCGAACCGTGAGCCGAACCACCGTTTATAATCTATCCTCATGTCAAATAAGCTGCAATTAATAAATAATTTCGTTTGACAGCGTTTTTCGGTGTCTATTCTTGAGATGTGCCATTTCACAGCGGCGCCCGCATGTCTGGCTGTTGGGGCTTGTGGATTATGGATTAGGTATAGGTATGCCACCCACCAGTTAAGATGTCACCGAAGCGCATTCAACATTTCGTGCCATTGATTACGGCAGACGTGTTGTTGTTATTGTTGTTGTTGGTATTTGAAGCTATATTTAGATTTAGCTGCGTTTCGATTATTGTTATTGCCTTGCGTGCAATCGGTTTGTGCAGTTGCAGTAGCAGTTGCAGTTGCTGTTGCAGTTGAGTACAGCCGCGCACAAAGGTTGCCACAGGCAGCACGGCTCGGCCTGGGCTGGCCTGGGCTGGCCTGGTGGCCGCAGAATAATCCCAATACCCGGCGCATTCTCACATGTGTCGCGCCCCCTTGCCCCGTTCCGTAACGACCTGGAGTTGGGAATTAGGTTTTGGTTTTCGGTTGTCTCGTTTTTTATTTTTCGTTTTTTTTTTTTTTTTTTTTTGGTTTTTTTGGAAGAGCGAAACCTACTTGGGCCCAATGCAAGTGGCGTGTCGCTTGTTTATGCATTTAATGCGCATTTCAAGTCATTTGCCTGGGCAGAGTTTTGAATTTGGTTTTCGTTTTGCGGCCAAGAACCAACAAATAAACTCACGTACTTCAATTTGACTCTACTAAAGTGTGTGCCTTAAGTGTTTCTGTGAAGGGAATGCGTCTGAAATTCAATCCGAACTGCAGCCAAAGCCACTTGAGGAGCTAGCCCAAACGTAGCCCCACTGCCCGATGCTAATTCCACTTGGATGTGCGCTGTCAAACATGACGAGCGAACCCCAACTGACAGATAGACCGGAGAAGTTTCAGCAATCCAACAATAATCTATCCAATCTATTTGACTGTGACGATCTAAATTTATCGCGTTTGCCCCGATTTAAGCCAAGGACTTATCGATTGGAATTCCAGTTCGAGCGATAACTGGGGCCACACTCATGATATTCCATTCGCACCGTTCGAAATTTATGTACTGTGTGTATATCGGGGTTTGGCTGATAATCTGCATTCACATCCGCCTGCCAGCGAAATAAATTAGTATAAACACTGAGGGAAATTCATATCAATTATATTACAAGTAGTAGAGTTCGCATACTCTACTAAACTTTGGTCAGTGTCAGCCAAGTTAAGTTCTTTTACGATAAATACCTCAGCTATCTTTAAGCTGTTTATCAATAGATCTGTTGACAAAGTTCTGAGGCAAATATACTTAAACTATAGATGTGTGTATATTGATGGCATAGAAAATAATACTAAGCATATTCATGACCTTAGGGAATCCGGATTTTAAGCCGCTTTTGAAATAGTTTAACGATGACATTCCATTTGAGTAGATAGCCGAAACTTATATAACCTCTTCAGCATCTGGATTTACAGTGAAAGCTAACTAGTGTCTTAAGATTGAAGATATATAAGATAAAGATGTAAGATTCACAGATATCTTCAGACGAAAGGATCTGAATAAATTCTTTTCCCAACCTATACACCCACCACCCACTTTATAGCCATACAAGAGGCCCAAGGCGAGGCTGATCGTGTGGCCCGAAAAACCCTAACCCAATCTGAAGTAATGACATATAATAATCTATGTTTTATGGCATAATTTGGCTGAGACAAATAACAGTTGTGCGCTGGAGGTTATGACGATTTGCGCAAGGACCATTAAAACGACTGGCTGATAAAAAATTAATTCAATTACAGTCTATAATTGCAGGCTACAATACTAAGTGGAATGAATATGTGCCAGTTAAATAATTTGACTACTTGAGTAATACGAATTGTATGCTTCCCAGTCTTCTATTTCCTCTACTGCTAATCGTTGGCTTGTAACCTGAGACAACTGGTTACCAGAATGACTTGCAACATGCAGCAAATTATTCGTCTCGCTAATCGCTTCGACTATTTGGGAAAAAAAAACCTTCTACAGGGTGTTTCATATGGTCCCAAGGCAAAAATATTTTAAAAATGCAAAAAACAAAAGCGAAAAAAAAAACAACGAGAAAAAGCCCTGGTAATTCGATTTGACACTCAGTTTTTGTGCTGCTTTTGACAAACTCAACTTGGTCAGGGCTCGGGAACCCCCGTTGCGGCTGCCAGCTAAAGGGCGCATGCCCCATACAGACTAACTGTATTTTTTTGTTTGCTTCTTACTCTATGTTAACACTTGTTGCAGGTGCTGTTAGTTAACTTACGCGTCAGTAAGTTCGTTTTTATGCGAACTTTTGCTTTTGCTTCTATTCGAATCGTATGCTATAAATTTAGCGCAAGTTTTTCACTTGTATTTGTGTTTGTTTTATATAAATAAAATCGTGGACTGATAAACACATCTACACACACATATGTGCACAGCAAAAAAAAAATTGGCTAATTGTTGTTATTGAAATTCACGGTTCGAGTTTTACACAGAACAACGCACAAACACAATTAGAGTTCCGATAGTTACAACAACAAAAAAAGCAAATGTAAATGTATATGTTATTGTTAATGTTAACGTTAACGTTAACGAAAGTGTTAATGTTAATACAAATGTAATTGAATGTAAACACACACGCTGCTTTGGGTCTGTCGGCCGTGTCGCCGTTGTTAACTGCTACACGTCCAGCACTCGACTTGCCTGACAGCAGATACTGCTGCCTGCTTTATAGCTATATACCCTACATTTCGATGAGCTGCTATTAAGTGGGTATGCTCCGTTTTGGTAAAGCACATGTCAGTGTGTGGGAGACACCGATAAAAATACTGCAGATATTATGGAAATGAAGCCTCAAAAGATAGATCAATTGATTTTAGCTACTTGTATTATATTAAAAATAAATTATTCCATGATATACATACGAATGGTATATAAAAGAATTAGAAAAACTGGGCTGAATCTAATGATATTTTATGTATATATATTTAAGTTAACTTTTTGTTTAGAAAATGTTATTCATCCAATATATGTGGTATCAAAATTTCTAAGTCAAACAAACTATGTATTTTCATAATTTGTTTTATAAAGTAAGTTCGCTTATTCATATTATTAATAAATATTTTTTGTAAATATGAGCATATGTATATTAGTTACAGGGTAGTAATAGTTCGAGTTTTACATGCGCACTGGCTATCGCTAGGCGCACACACGCACAAACACACACACACACACACTGAATTCAGCAGAGCAGAGCAGAGAGAGCAGAGCAATTGGCGCGACGGCTAAGCGTTAACTGTTAACCAAATGCGTGGGCTGGCGACAAACAAACCGGGCTTAGCATACAGTAAAGACTATGCACTTGACCACTTTCCCCCCCTCACACCATGCCCCACCTCCATTCTCTTATGCTGCAGCGATTCGCACATCTAAAGCAGCGCAGCAGCAGCGCAGCAGCAGCGGCAGCTAACATTGTCACTCTTACGCTGTGATTATCAACCGATCGATGGGACCGAGGGAGGGGCCGAGATGAGCGGCACTTTGATTCAAATGCTGGCCGGCTCTCAAAATCCTTAGCATTAGAACTTTGACCAGCTGCTGCCGGCGACGGCCACACACAATTTAAGAACAGAGATAAAAATCAGGTAGATAGGCCCGTGTAGATTGATGGATAATTAACCTTTAAAGAATAACTAGCAATTCTTTTATTTTATAATTATAATTTACAATTGACGCATATTTAAACCAATAATTAATACACATATATACATATATTATAGCATCTGTAGTATTCTACAAATCTCAGCTTTCCGTTTTACTCAATCTCCCACAAAACATTGTCTGTCGACTGGCTGTGAGCATGGCTTGATTGATGACGTCGCAACGTCACCGCTCGCTCTTTCGCTCTCCCTTTCCAATTCTCATGCTCATTTATTCGCTAGCGCCATCTACCATCTAAACAGGTGCTTTGGGACGCCTCATAAAGTCAATTACAATACACAGGCAAAAAAGAACAAAATAGATAATTATACACATACACACATACATACATGTGTGGCTGTGTGTATATAGATCTGCACATAGTATATATACGGAAATAGTGAGCGATTAAAAAAAATATATATATAAATAACTGTGTGTGTCTGTGCATATGTGAGTGACGACTAACACTAATATATTATAATTCACCATGAGAATTCATAATATTAGATAATAAGTAAAAAAAAAAAGAAAAATACAAAAAAAAAACACTAAACAATACGAAACTGATTCGCGCTTGTCACTGCACGTTTTACTCAAACAAACAATAAGTTGCTCTGTTTGTAGATCGAGGGTGGATCTTAAGAATATACAGTTAGAGAATTTGTATAGTTCCCCGGGCGGATGGTGGACTTCGTGAAAATATCCATTGGAATGAATATTATATTTAGAACAATATTTTATTGAATTATACTTATTTTCTGTAACATATTTTTTTGATATCAAAATAAATTTGTTTAATTATAATAATTATATATATTTACAATAACTATAATAATAACTGCCCTTTTCTTCTCAATTTTCCCAATGTATGTCTGTTTGCTTTTGCATTTGATAAGTTTGGAAAAATATTCAACATCAACAGATTACATAAATTTCTACGCAATCAGGTCCCAAACATAATTTAGACACTCTTATATATTTATATATATATATATTTTTTTTTTTTTTTTGGTTATCTCTAAAAGCCTCTGCATTGCTTATCATTTTTCACAAGGAAGTTGTACAATTGCTGCTCAAATATACAAATTACTTAAATAGTTAAATGTGTTGGTCATATTAGAATGCCTGGTTATACAATATATATATATTATAATCAGCATATACCTGAACTAGGTATTTCAAAAACCTCCAATTTCTATCAACAACAGACTTTGCCAGCGGTTCCAGCTGTCGCACGTATTGTCAGGCGTTCGGAGCTTGAACTCGTTGCGAATTGTAACGCGCAAGTGTAGGGGGGCAGGCGCTTTTGCAAACTTAAGCATTTAGTTGTTGCAGTTATACTTGTTTTTTTTTTTTCACTTTCCTGATAGGTCATTCATAGGTTATTTCTCCCTATAAAAACTTCACAATCATATCATTATTATATAGTATATATGTTGATAATGGACAGCCACTAGTTACTATTCCAGTTTGTTTCGACGCACTTCAGCTGAAATCTTTAGCTATATGTACAGTTGATAGCCGCAAACAATTTCAATCCAAGTTGAAATACACATCAACATTAGGAATTTCCATTTATGGAGTATTTTTATTAACCCAAACAATATTTGCACACTATTTAAACGAGCCATAAAATGAGATTCTGACGAGTTCTGAATGACTGCTAACCAGCCATAAAGATATACATAGGCCTTATAAATATACTACCCAGACATTTCTCGTGCACATTTGCAAATATTTACCCAAGCCGAGCACAGGGTTTTTCTTCATTCACTCTTTCTTTTTGATAGCTCTATTTAACTAAGTTGCTTTGGATTTGGAAGACAGTGCGTCAACCAGCGGTGTCTGGGGGAGCACCTAAATTTTGACTTTCCACTTTGCACTACGCACTTGACTCGCAGCCTGGGTTGATTATCATATCGTGAGCTTTTGTGGTCTGTCATGTTTCGATAAAAATAACTTCAGTTATTGGCCAATTTATAAGGTGTTGATATAAAAGAATTGATTGTCGAAAAGGCATTGATTAATGGACGTGACTTGTATAAATGCATATATATATATATATATATATATATATATGCATATATGTATATATTTAAATACGATCTACTTGGTTCATAATATATGGCACTTTGGTTAACACCTGCCACAATCTTGATTTTGTTGGCTGCTTCTTCTAGGCTTAACTCAAAATATGCGATCCTCAGTTTGCATTTCAATATTTCTTAATTTAACTGCCAGTTCTTAGCCGTCGCTACGCTTCGGGATGCACATTTTTGCGGTTAGTTTATTGACCGAGTTCAGGCAGCAACTGACAACCGGCAACTGGCAACTGGCAACTGGCAACCGGCAATCGGCAACCGGCAAATGGCAACCGACAAATGGCAACCGGTTTATGATCCAAACCCAAGTCGCCTTTCAGAGATCAGCGACCCAGCTGGGCAAAGCAAAGCTTTTCATTAATCAGTCAAATTTGTGCAGCCAAAGGGCAGTTCACTTGGTTCCACTGGGGCTCACACTATACACACACATAAATATATATATATATATATATACATCTATATATGTATACATAAGACCTATTTCACAACATTGCCAGATACTTGCCGCACTGCCCCGGCACGCTATCCAATTACCGGCAATTGCATGACACATCGCTCGATGATGAGCTGCCGGCATGACTTGCCGTTTATGGCAAGAAAAAAATAAGACCAAAAAAAAAATTGACGAAAATCAAGCCGAAGATTAGATATGCTTGCGTACTTATCAATATTTATGATATCTGAACAATTTTCAATCACGATAGGCTCAAGCAACTAATTTTACATAATACCAGAAAACAAAATGCTATCATGACTAGATTAATTCTAATTTGTATCTCTTTGTACAAAACATAAATATTTTATCGCTAATACCTATATCGGTTCTTAACTCGTTTTGCAACACTGCACTTATGTTTTACTCTAGTCTAGCAAATCAATTATATTTTACAGGAGATATGTCTTTTTATATATATTTTATATATTTTCGAAAAGTTCCCCAACGAGAGACAACTCTTGACTACAGCCCATGCAGAGCAATTGGTGTCACCAAATGTGCCAAATTGTCGCAAATGGCCGTCGCATTGCAGGGTGCAGCATCAATTGAAATGCCGCTGAATACGACAAATGTGCGGTAACTGAATAAATCAATTGAAAATTGATTGGCGCACGCGTCCGAATAGAAATAAGTAGAACTCAAAGCACAAAATAAAATCAAATGGCATTTCGAATGGGACAGCTTACGCATATTATTAACAGTAAATATAATTCATAAAAATAATTTGCTACATTTAATTATATACAAAATGTACACTTTAAACATATTTAAAAAAAAAAAAAAAAGAAAAAAAAAGATTATATTATAATAAAATAATCATAAAAAAATGACAACAATCAAAAAACATGGCTAAACTAGACGTTATGTGGATGGAAGAAAGGATGAGGTGGATAAAAGTAGGCGTTGGTGGGTGGGCAGGCAGGCGGCAAGCGGCAGGCGGCAGGCAGGCAGGCATGCGTCCAGTTCGTGCGGCACCTCACTTAAAGTCAGCATCGGTGACAGGCGGCGATTTGCGACGGCGGGCACGAATGCAATCCTCCAAATACCAGAGGGCAATGGCCATCACGCAGAGCGCATTGAGACAGTTGAGGGTGAACGCATAGCTGGTATTGTCCCGTATCAGACCTGCGGCAAATATCGGATAGTAGGGATATTGGGCATACGAGTCCTCGGTTAGTAAACACAACAGAACATGCACAGTCACGTACGTGGGAAGGGAGGGGAGATTCTACTTACCGATCACAGGTCCAAATGCCATCGAGAATGTGCCTGACATCAGCAGCTGGAGGCCGGCGGCGGCCGGCAAACGTTTCAGCGGCACATAGCTGGGTATGATCAGGGACCAGAAGACGGTGCGGAAGGCCTTGTTCAGGCCGAGCCACAAAA